TTGAAATCTATCTTCCAATCCAAAAACTTCCTTTTCATCACCAACCCTCAAGGTGAGCTTAGACTCACGAATATCAACAAGAGCTCCAGCAGTGTTTAATAACGGGCGACCAAGAATAATTGGTACATCGGGATCTTCTTTCATGTCCAATACCACAAAGTCTATTGGAAAAAAGAATTTCCCAATTTTCACTAAAATGTCTTCCACAATACCTCGGGGCTGTGTCACTGAAAGGTTCACCATGTGAATAGTCATTCTTGTAGCCTTCAACTTCTGATACAATGAATAAGGCGTCAAATTAATGCTAGCCCCAGAATCGGCTAAAGCATCAACCTTCATGTTGTTACCAAACTCACATGGAAGAGTGAGGCGCCCAGGATCCCCCATTTTCTTAAGTGTATCTCCCAACACAGCTTTTGAGCGTTGCTCACTTAGAATCACCTTGGAATTCTTCTTTAATTGCTTGCAAGTGTCTATCAAATCTTGCAGTAATTTTGATACTCGAGAATTTTGGATAAGGACTCAACAAAGGGAGTATTAATCGGGATACCTTTCACGTGCTTAACAAACTCTATATGATCTCTTTCTAGTGGACTAAGGGTAGCTTGGGAAGGAAACGACAATGGCGGCTGATAAACCGAACCAACTCCATAATTTTTATGTTCCTGATGGGCCCACGTCGTGAGCTTAAATGGATCACGTTGTGACATCGTCAATTCAGCATCATCTTGATTCTTGAGCTTGGGCTTCTTTGGTTTTGGATCGGGTTGCTTTGGTTCTTCTTCTAGTGCCTCTAAGAACTTAGAGATGACCTCTTCTTCAGTATCTATAGCCATTACATGAGATTGGGTCTTCGATTCCGGAGTTTTCGGGCACAGCTTCTCATGAATCAGAGTGGTTATTTGACCAAGTTGCACTTCAAGATTATCTATGGAGGCTTGTTGATTTTTTATCAAAGCTTGTTGTTCTACCATCAATGCATGATGATTCTTTACCAAAGTTCTTTGTTCATTAATAGCATAATCAGTAACCTCGTGTCTCTTTTCGGAAGCTTCCATAAATTTAATTAACATGGTCTCTAGATCGGTTTTCTTCTCGATTGGTGGTTGTTCTTTTTGGTAGAGGCCTCTGCCAGTTTGTGTATATTTCTTTTCCTTTTGCTTCTTGTATTCATCATAGGGCAGCCACTCTTTCTTTGGTTTCCCCCAATCTTCATCATACTTGTCCCCACTCAAATAGCAAACTTGAGCTTTCTTGTTTCCATATTCGTCCAAGTTGCAATCTTTTGTTAAATGTGGACAACTACATCTCTCGCAACCAACTCTAATTGCATGAATAGATTGGTCCATTTGTGTTAATCTTCTCTCCATAGTGTTAAGCATTGCCATCACAGCAACTATCTCTTCGGGTTGTGCACCCCTAACTCCTTTAATGCCTTCATTCCTTGGATTATGATATTCCCGAGAGTGCTTTGCGAATTCTTCAATTAACTCCTTGACTTCGCCCAAATTTTTCTTTGTAAGTGGTCCTTAAGAATCAAGGAGTTGTCTTGTCATCACGTTTACCCCGTCATAAAATATTGACACCTTCTGATGAATGTTAAGGTCATGTTGAGGACAATTCCTTAACAACCCTTGGTAACGGTCCCAAGCTTCGTAAAGTGACTCTCCCGGGTTTTGCTTAAAATTGGTTATTGCCTTTTTGAGTTTAGCAATCTTGGATGGTGGAAAGAATTAATCTAGAAACTGCTCACGCATTTGACCCCAAGTAGTTATGGTACCGGGTGAAAGTGCTTTTAACCAATCCTTTGCAGCTCCTTTAAAGGTAACGGGAAGCATCCTTAGCAAAATGGTGTCTCTGTTAATATTTGGGACATTGAAGTAATCAACAATGTCATTCACCTCATCTAAGTGTTTGAATGCATCCTCGCGATCCTTTCCATAGAATGGGATATCCTTTAGTGCGGAAAGGATATGTCCCTTTAGCTCGAATGTGGCAGTGGCAGGGATTGCAGGTTGTACTAAGCCTGGACCAACATCATCTCGAATTCTCTTTTTGTAACCTCCCATGGACATTTCCTCAATATTTTTCATCTCGTGCCTTGGCTCGTTCTCGAGTTCGCTCGTATGTTCTTCAAATTCGGGCTCAGTATCGTACTCGGATTCGGTTTGGATGGGTATTTGACCCAAGGGCTCGATGTTGTGCTTTTCAGATCACTACCAAGGAGGACAGATCAACTCCAGATGTTGTAACTGGTATGTTTCTATCTATTATTGATGTTCACAAAAGTACCCACTAATTTTAATATTTATAACCTAACAAACTTAGACTAACTATGCACTTATAGGCAGTGTACCTAGTCAGATTACAATATAGCTTAGGTAAGTCGGGTGTCGATCACAGGGAACAGTGTTACTAATTTACTATTAAATTAATCTAATTATTAACAAGCTAAAAGGGTTTTTATCTAATTTTGCAAGTTTAGATGAACTTAATTCTTTAACGATAACTTAATCAATAAACCAAATACTTATGTTAGTTCGAATCCACTTTCACTAAATGGTTATACATTAGTCAAGACTATTACCGTTGGTTACCAATTTAAGAAGTATTAGCAGTTTAGTTCTAAACCTACTAATTATTAACCAATTCATGAAAATCTATGTGTGGTCACACAATAGTTAACACGAAATCTATTATTAAGTAAGATTGGAGCTATGAAGATTGATTGATCAAAACACAATTACATTCATAATATGAGTTCTCTAACACAGCTTGATTCAATGATTCAATTACTTATCTAAGATTGGTTTGGTCTTAGCTCTAATAAACTAGTGTTCACTTTGTTATTAGGTATTCATATCCATGTAGATTTGTGTTCACTAACTACACAGAACAGGAATTTAAAGCAATTAAATCATTAACTAGGCATGCTAGGTAAAATCAACCAACACAAGCATATAACCAACAAATAAATTCAAATCTAATGTATTCAAACCATGAGTTCCAGCTTCATCTAGCTAACAGAAGCAGCTAGATTTAGCTAGACATATTAACAGGTAAACCGTAAAAAGCTATAGTCAAACACATGACAAATGTACCAAGTTTATAAAGCAAATTATGAACTTCCTCTTCTTTGGTGTTGAAAACAGCTTCCAGGTATGTTTCTCCTCTGATTTTTCTTCTTCAGGAACCCCTCTAATCACCCAAAAGTTCTTTAAGTCGTAATGGTCGAGGATATATATAGTTTTTCGATTTTCATAATTCACGTCGTGAATAATAAGTTATTCACATCGTGAATACAAGATATCCGTATTCGGCAAGGATTCCTTCACCCGTGTACATATCTTCTAGAACTTAAACTCACGTCGTGAATCTTCCAGTTCTCACGACGTGAGAACGCTTTTCCATGATTTTCGTGTCCTTTAATCTTCTAAACAAATTACCAGCTTATATATAAAAATGTACTTAAATATTGCCTAAAAATAGGTATAAATATGGCAATATCAAAATCTTGTTGATTATGTTTTGTGTTATGCGCTTATATATATATATATATATATATATATATATATATATATATATATATATACCTCTATTAGGTACGTTTATAGTGAACTCCCTGCCTGCTTTAGTGTTTTTTGACTCGGGTGTGATTCGGTCCATTGTTTATCGGTCGGTCATGTAAGGGGTTTAGGCCCAATTTGGAAAATTAGGCCATATTTGGGACTTGGTTGATTATTTGACTTTTGGGCCTTTCAGATTGTGAGTTGAGGTCTTAGTTTTAGACCAAGCTAGGTTAGGCGTAAAATGGTCTTTTTACCCCAGTTATGGATTGGAAACCAATTGCTCACTGGATGTTGTTTTGATATTGATAGTCCGGGGATCTGTCAGCCAGCAGCAACGGATCGTTTATGTAATTCGGCAGTATAAGGTAAGTATCCTCCCTATGTTTAGCAGGTCGAAGGCACCAATTCCAACCCATGGTTTATTATACTTAGTATGCTTGGTGTACGCGTGACGCTTGCATGTGTTATGTGTTTTATGTTTATCGAGCGGGGATCGATATCGGGCAGGGCCTGATGAGTATATTGTATGCTAGTTATTGGAATATGCTTTATGATTATCGAGTACGACCCGATGTTGGCATTGGACCTAAGTCCGGAACACATAACATATAAACTACATCGGGCTAACCCTAGCATCGGATCTAAATCCGATATACACTAACATACATAAACGGGTCGGTAATGGTGCCTTTGACCCGTTCCTACTGGAGAAAACTAACCTCACACACTGACTGCAGAATCCTATTGATAATCCTCTCACTGCTAGCTGGTAGATCCCCGAACTACTGACCCCTCAACTCCCCGAGCTATCATTATCAACATAAAACACAATTAGGAACTTATAATTCTTCTTATGGTAAAATTGACCATTTTACCCCTGGTCAAAGTCAAAGGCAACGCTTGGTCAAATTCAAAGTCAACACCCCAAGTTGACTCAACTCGCCGAGTCATTCTCCTGACTCGTCGAGTTCCTTCACTACTCATAGTTGTGGCTAGGGATGAGCTTTTGAACCGCCGGAACCGGAACCGGACACAAATTAGTAGAGCGGTTCGGTTATCGGTTCTTGACTTATGGCAAAACCGGTTCCGGTTCTACCACCGGTTCGGTTCTAACAAAAATCGGTTAAAAAACCGGAACCGGCTTGGAAGTGTAAGAGTCGGAATCCATGCAAATCTATTTTCAAAATATTATCTAATTGATGCAATATCGATATATCATATATCCTAAATTCCTAATCTATTCCTTAATTAACCTAAACATAAAACGGCAAGTCAAGAGTTAAAAAAAAAAAAAAAAAAAAAAAAAGCCGATCACCACACAGAGGAAAATAGGGACGATCGGTTTTGCTTGGGGCTTAGGAAATCACGATCAATAGTCGACATTGTGAAAAAAAACCGATCCTGACAAACAAAAATCGATTTTGTGTAACAATGCAGAAGCCAAACTCAAGTAATTGGATTAATACAGAAGATGAAACTCAAGTAAGTCATTGTTGTTATTGTTTCTTATTGTATACTGGTTCGTTCTTGCTTTTTTGATGCAACAGAAGTACAGAACTACCAACTGTTTTTTTGCTAAGATCTTTTAATCAACAAGTGCAATCTCCAATTGATTGTTGCTGCATTACTAAATTACTAATCAACAAGTCATTGTTGTTGTTTTTTGCTGATTGCACTTGTCGATTGTTGCTGGCTTGCTGCATTAATAAATTACTAAAAACAACTCCATTACTAAATTACTTAATTACCCTTCAACCCATTTGAGAGTTGAGACTTATTCTTTAGGTTTCTTTCCAGTTTCTTTCCTGATTATGTTAGTCTACATTTATGTTAGTATACCAACATGGCACATATAGGTTAGGAGTAAGGATGTTAGGTAGAGAGGATTCCTTTGGTTCCATTCCAGTTTAGGGGAATGATGTATTTCAATTTTCAAGCTACCTAGACCTTTATTGCCTTATCTTGTAGTAATGCTTGTGATATATGGTTGACAGATAATATATCCCTTTACAATTTACATTGTTTATTAATTGATTTCATATTTAAAATATTTTTTATGATATAACGTAAAAAGATATAATAGATTTTGTTAATTGTTTTCCTCCTAAAGGCTCAATCTCAATATTCAATTCATGTTTGAGAAAACTCTAAAAATATACAAATAAAATCTTAGAACTTAATATGGTGTAAAATAATGTCACTTATCCAAATTGAATTAAACATCTTTTGAACTCATTTTGCTTGATGATATATAATATTTTTTGAACTCATTTTCCAAATGTAGGATTATGAAGATGATTTTATTGGTGAGACACCACCGGTAATTAATAATATTAGTGACGAATCCAGAAAAGAAGACATGCCAAAGCCAAGTCCTAAGAAACGAAAAAGGAATGGAGGCGTGCCAAAACCAATTACTAGCAAACGAGATAGAGCAAGGAATAATGGTAAAGAAACGGCTCCTTGTTGGGTAGAGTTCGAGTCGGTGTGGATTGTAGAGGATGATGGTGTTGGAAGGAAAAGTGTGGAATGTATTCATTGTCATACAATACTTAAAGCCGATACGGACCGAAACGGGACTTCTAATAAGAACAAACATTGGAGGAATTGCAAGTTAAACCCGGAAAACAAAGAAAAAAATGATAAAAAGCAAGCCAAATTGAATTTTAAGAAGGAACCAAATGGTGAGACTAGTGTACAAACATGGAAACATGATGACACTAGGATCAAACGAGCATTACTAGGCCTTTTTACCGTTGGTGAACTACCATTCAAGTATGTTGAAAATGAAGCATTTATTGAATATACTAACGCGCTTAATGGTAGGGTGATCTTGCCTTCTAGACATAAAATTTCCCGAGACGTAGGCAAGTTTTACTTAGATGAGAGGAATAAATTGCTCAAGTATTTCAGTAATGCAAACACCGTTGTACACTTGACAACCGACACTTGGACATCCTCTTGTAAAAAGGTCAATTACATGGTTGTCACGGCCCATTTTATTGATGACGAGTGGGTCATGCACAAGAGAGTCATCAATTTTAGGGAGATAGATACACATAAAGGAGAAGAAATTGGACGAGAGTTACTAGCATGCATACATGGGTGGGGTATGAAAAATGTTATGTCAATGACCGTCGATAATGCCACGAGTAACGACACAACAATCGAATTTTTGGTTAAAATGTTTCCCACGATTTACGACGGTGGAAAACATTTCCACATACGGTGTATGGCTCACATCCTAAACCTTATTGTGAAGGTTGGGTTAAAATACCATAACTATCATGTGGAATGTGTACAAAAGGTGGTGAAGTATATTAGAGGTTCAACACAAAGGATTAAGAAGTTTAAAAAAACCATCAAAGACGTGGGGTTGGAAACAAAGAAATTTTTGTGTGGCGACTCTCGAACCCGATGGAACTCGACATTCGAGTTGTTGAAAACCGCCTACGAGTTATGGGAAGCTTTTGTGGAATTTGGCATCAAAGGTATTACTTTTCTTATTTTGTTTCAGCACATTTTATTATTGTGTCCCGTTTTTAAAATTGCATAACTCACTCATATGAAGTCGGGATCACTTGATTTTTTTTCAACATGTAGCTTAGTCTTTATACTTCAGTTTAGACTTTTACAAATCATATTTTGGTTAAATATTGAATTAGATACAAGCCTGGAAAGACAACATATCAATGCAGCATTTTTTCTGTTTCAGCACATTTTATTATTGTGTCCCGGTTTTTAAAATTGCATAACTCACTCATATGAAGTCAGAATCACTTGATTTTTTTTTTCAACATGTAGCTTAGTCTTTATACTTCAGTTTAGACTTTTACAAATCATATTTTGGTTAAATATTGAATTAGATACAAGCCTGGAAAGACAACATATCAATGCAGCATTTTTTTCATTTATTTATATATGATAATTTAATTGGTTTTTATTTTTGGATTTTGATAGAAAAATCGTATGAGAAGGATCTACAAAGAGTACCGGATCGTTTGGATTTCGAGGCGATAAAAGAGATGGTGGATTTCCTTGAAAAGTTTAAGACGAAAACGGAGAACGTTTCGGCTTCAACAAAACCTTTAGTCCATCGATTAATCCGGGAAATCTTAGATGTGAATCTACATCTTAAAAAATGGTCAACCAAAGTCAACTTTGTTCATTTGATACCCGACATGAAGGACAAATATGACAAATATTGGGGCGACTATGCAAAGATGAGTGATTATGTTTACTTTGCTATTTTGCTAGATCCTACAATGAAGTCTCAATTATTGTTGTATACTTTTAAAGAAATGATTGGTTCCAAGAATGAAAAGTTATCAAAGTCGGAGATAGAATTGAAAGCATATGAAATGCTTTATGAGGTCGAGAGGAAGATTGAGAAATTTTTTAAGACCTACGTGGAAAAATACGACATGGGCGGGTCTTCTCAACAACAAAGTTCTCAACAAGTCGTTGATTGTGATGATGATAACGACTTTTTTGGCAACTTCCTTAATAGTGGAGGTGACAACTCGGATGCGTTGGAAAATGAATTAATTATATATTTGAAAAAGCCCCGGGTTACGTACAACAAAAGTTTTGATATCCTAAGTTGGTGGAAACTTAACGGGTTAAGATTCCCGATAGTTGCTTGAATGGCAAAAGGTATTGACTTTTTTTTAATATGTCACATTTCTTTTAATAATTAATGATGTTACATTTAACAATAATTTATTTCTTAATAGATATTTTGGGGATACAAATCTCAACTGTAGCATCGGAGTCTACCTTTAACACAAGTCGTAGAGTTTTAACCGACTATCGTGCTAACTTGTCTAACGTGATAGTTGAAGCTTTGTTGTGTACCCAAGATTGGGTTAGAAAGAGTAGAAAACCTATAATAGACAACATGGATGACATTTTAAATGATGATGAAGTAGCTATGGGTATTTTGTACTTTCAATCCTTGTTATATTTTTATACGACCTTTACATTTTAGTAAATGCTAACAACACTTTTGTTTTGTGTTTTATATATAGATTGAGGAAGCTTTACACAATGACAAAGCAATGGGAAAAAGACCAATGGAGACATAGATGATAGTTAGAGAGAATTATTTTGGTTTAAACTTGATTAGTTGAATTCTATTAAAATTGATATGTGGGGACGAGTTTGTTTTTTGAACACCACTATGTTTTTTTGAAACTTGATTTTTGAATGTTATGTTTTTTTGAAACTTGATTATTGAATATTATGTTCTTTTAGAAGCCAACTTAACAACATGTAAGTATTATGAATTGCATCTAAACTAGTTGTACCTATTTTTTAACCAAAAGAGTCATTAGTTTCACCTAAATTTTAACCGGTTCTTGTTTGGAAAAATAACCGGAAAACCGGGACCGGAACCGGAACCGGTATTGGAACCGGCAGTCCGGTTACCGGTTCTTATACTATCGTAATACCGGTTCCGGTTCCGTTCCGTTTCCAACGCTCATCCCTAGTTGTGGCAGAACAAGTCAACTGATCGAGTCCCTCTTCAGACTCGCTGAATTCCTAAGAACCATGCAAAAACCCTGGCCAGCTCGCCGAGTTGCTATTCAACTCGTCGTGCACATGCACAATCCATGATCAAGAAAAACCCCACCAACTCGTCGAGTCACCCTATCAACTCGCCGAGTTCCTGCAAAAACCAGAAACAGGAAACCTCCATCAACTCGCCGAGTTGGCTATCCAACTCGGCGAGTCCTTTAGTTCACTTCTCATTCAGTCGATTCCAATCGATTCTAATGCCACAAACTCACAGATCTGGACTCCCTAGGCCAACATAACACATAAAGTATTGAGCTTTATTCGATGTGATGCGACCTGGGCTCCAACTACTTGGGATACTAATTCTGATGGCCGGAAGGAAACTTGAGAGGTCACAAGAAAAAGAAAACTGTCAGCCCCTCACCGGGACGAGGTCCCAAAAAAACGCTGACGGTCAAGTCAATAGAGAGAATAAGTGTAAAGGCTAAGGAATTGGGAATGGATATCTTACCCCTCAAGTCCAGGTGAACGTCCTTTTATACTGAGGATCCTGCTCGATCCACATGAGGGACAAGGGCCTGCGATCCCGACAAGATTCGTCGTCCTTATGAGTGGATCGTGTTCCGCGTAGTGTCAGAGCTAACGATTGTCTCAGGCGATAATGCTCTGGATGTGCCTCTTGTCGCTTGGAGCCATTATATTTGGACTGTAGCGAAGGACAACATTTGGCGAGTGTAAGGCTCTAGCGTGGTCGCCCCGCTAGAGTCCCTGGTGGCCAGGATTGTCGAGTCAGGCTTGGTCAGGCCTCACTAGGAATTCCTTGCCAGGGACTCTCTTACTTCTGGCCCGCTCTGAGGGGCGTGCCATCACCATGCATGGTCTTTTTGAGCTCAAAAGGCCATAATTATGTCCTTAGCACTTGCATGGGGACTCTAAGGGCATAAAGTTTGCACCTTTATGTCCTCACAACCCCTCTAGTCACTAGATCTGGAGAATACCCACTTGGGTCGATCCTTTCCCAAAAGCTATCAATCTTGGACTCAAAAACACGCATAAATAGGAATAAGGAGATCTAATGGATCGCAAGTCAAGGTGGAAGCTTGATTACCAAAAAGTAATGAGAATGGAACGATATCCATGAATCTACTCCTTCTTTTTTGAGTCCTCTATCTTCTTCTCCTTTCAAAAGCTTCAAAATGACACAAAGAACACTCAAAATAGATCACACACTCAAAGAACACTCTAGGGTTTTGTGGTTAAGGGTTTGGGACAAGGCGGCTGTAGATGGGGCTGAAACAAGGGGAATAAGATGTTTAAATAGGGTACAAAGACCCGGATTTAGCGTTTCCCCACCCTGACCAACTCGTCGAGTAGGTCCTTCTACCCGCGTACCAAAACTCTCCCCTACTCGTCGAGTCATCCCACAGACTCGACGAGTTGCCTTCATGACTAAGGGTTTTCCTTTCCTTTCTTTGGCCTTCTGGATTATGGGTGTTACACTTCTCCCCTAATTAACCTGGATTTCGTCCTCAAAGTTTGCTACCATCACCTATTCCGCGAACATCTCACACATCACACCCGCATCTACCCTTCTATCTGCTCTAGACTAATTGGTGTTTCCACCGCCACTTATATTCGTCACTCTGAAAGTATTGCTAACATTCTCCGAATTCAATGGCCTTCCCAAGGTAACTGAACCCACTATCAAAACCTTTCTAAACCCCAATGGATAACCGCTCAACTGCAACTTTTCAACCTGATCAGCTCGATGCTACCAACAACAACACACTCCCTAACTATAACTAGATGTAGAATACTTATACTTGCCAGGAGGCTTAGATAATCCTTCGAGTAAAAGATCCATCCCAGAAAAGGTTAGACTCAAACGAGAGTTGCGCAAACTTATCTGCCCATTATCTGAAATATCAGATTCCACCTGAACACCATGTTGTCTCTTATCTTCCTTCCAAAGGAACACGGGACCTCCTAGGTCCAAACTTATCTGCCCACTATCTGAAATATCAGATTCCACCTGGTTACTAAGCCACTGAACACCCTCTCAGTCGCTCCCAGTGACTTCTGAAGACAACTTCTGCTAACTAATACTGCTCTATCTACATTGTCGCTTGGCTACCTGATCCTGGGATCCCCGATCCCCTACTTTGTCCCTATGGTCTTTTCCAGGTCCCACCCGCCCTGCTACTAACTCACGGGCCTCGCCCATAGTTCTCACCCAAATCATACTGCTAAGTGGCCTTGCCCGTAGGTCTCACCTATGTAGGGCTATGCAAGTACAACCCCCCTCGAGTTCTATTAATCTATCCTTTCTTGAGTACGAACCTGATAACTAGATGATACGGTCCTCCTCCACACCCTGTCGACTAAGAGATATCGGCCTTGCCTGCATTTCGCTAACTAGGAGATACGAGCCTCGCCAACACTCCAGTAACTAGGAGATACGAGCCTCACCCAGACTGCATTATCTGGTTGCTAATGAATATTGTGGATAAACAACACTCTTACAACATTTCCCCCGGTGTATAATTGTTGTTGAAAGCTACGACTATCCCGTAGTCGTACATCCTGGCTAAACCCACGCTTTGCCAAGAACTCCCCGACCTGGTTTCCTAAAGCATTTATCAACTGTCATGACTATACGAAATCAACGTTGTGAAGTTTCCCAAACTCCCAACCCACACACTTT